CGCGGAAGGAGGTCAGCTGCTTTTGGGAAACTCTTGCTTTAAGTCTTTGCCTTCATTGCGGCTCGTCTCTCGTCAGATAAAGGCCAGAGAACTAGCGTTACACCCTCCGTAGCGCGCAGGAGGGCGAGCAGCCCAAAACGTTCGCCACACGATGGGTTGGACCGTTTGCGGTCCGCTCTCGGGTCATCGCCTTGGCGTATATTATCGATTTACCCCCAACGTGGAGATGTCACCAAACTATTAACGTGGGCTTCTTAAAACAGTTTCGGGAATCTCCGCGGTTTCCTCGCACTCTAGCGAGGAAACTGCAGCAACGACATCGAGAGCTTCCCAGCCTCGACGACACAGAGATTCTCGAAGTGCGGGTTAACGCCCGCCGCGGCCATCGGAAACGCGAATATCCCGTCAAATGGCCAGTCATACGCGATCCCGAGTGGGTTTGGAAGGATCGATTACGGGAAGCGATCCCCCCCGAACAGCTAACTGCTCTCCTTGACCTCTCACCAACTACACCTAGTGGGTGCATGCAGGCAGGTTGCGGGACTGGGTAATGGGTGGCTAGCTGTTAGTGGATCCCTAGTCGGATCCCTGCAAATTCTTCTATTTTTCTACCCCGATTCCCCTGGAGGCTAACTACATTGTCTCCCTATTTGTATCTTCCCTCCCGCACACGACGCGCTAGTTCGCGGGAGGGCGCAGACGAGCAGCAGTACCTTTGCCCAGTGGGGCTGGGCACCACCTTTGGGACTTTGTTGGGGCTTTCCCGGGAGCCCCAATCGGCACCGACCCAGACCGGCGAGACGGGATGCAATACTTGACAGTGAAGTCACACTGCATGGGCCGGGAAAGCCACCGAACAACTCTTTCGTTGTCGTAGTCTTGAAAACTCTTCGTCAGGCGTGTCAATGATTGGTGATCGGTCTGAACCGTGAAGTGCCTGCCATACAGGTAGTGTCGGCACTTTTTAACGCCCCACCAGACCGCATAAAGCTCCCTTTCCCTGACCGGGTATTTGTGTTCCCTCTCTGTTAAACGGTGTAAGTAGCAAACGATTATTTGATGCTCTTTCGATCCAATAGCCTGCTGAGATAGCATAACTCCGACTACGGTGTCACTAGCATCGGTCGTAAGGAAAAAGTGTTTATCAAAATCAGGGGGCGCGAGTACGGGGGATGATGTCGGGTGCCCGATGAGGCGTCCGACGGCTTCGTCCTCGTTCTCCATCCAAATCGTCTGCTTCTCCTTCTTAGGAAGATCAGTCAGAGATGCAGCAATGCGAGCGAACCACGGAATGAAATTGCGATCGCATGAGGCGAGCCCGAGGAACTTCTGAACGGCCGTCCTCGTGTACAGCTGTAGCGGCCATCGCTGAATAGGTGTATTCAGAGGTAAAGCATGCAGTAAAGAAGGCTTCAGCGGAGCGTTGTTGTATGCGTGCTTGAGGCTGGCTTGTTTTACCAGGCGCGGCGATGTGGGCTGCAACCCCACTTCAGGCTGCCTCCTCCCCGCAACACCCAGGTTCTGGGTTCAATGCCCATGACGCCCGAGGACAGGGATAGGGGGTCAGCTGCTTTGGGAAACTCTTACTTTATGTGTCTACTTACATCGCAGCCCGCTGCTTTTCTTGAACAAGGCAAGAGAGAAAGCGCTACAATAGGCAGCTGCTGCTGCATGGAAACCCCACGAACACCCGTGCCCAAGGCCTCATTTTATTCATTTATTAGCAATTTGCACAGTTGTTAAGCACTTACTTTTTCGTCAGCGGGCCTCTCGCACATCAGCAGAAGTACACGTACCAGCGACAGGAAGTAGGGAATACGCAGACTGGGGTGAATATTGAGGAACGGTTCAACTTATTTTGCTATCGTAGCGAATAAAATTCAAGCAACTGGTCTTTTAAACTCTTAAAAGGGTGGGACCCTTTGGATCTACACCTTCCGTGACCGGTGGCGCTGGGATCGTCAGATGCTGCGATCGCGTCGTGAGCGGCAAGCCCGAGAGATGCAGCACTCGAGAATCGGCAGGTTTCGAGTCTAAGAACAAATTCTGTCAAATTACTTCTCGTTTTTAATAGCCATAAGCAATTGTTTTCTTCGTCATTCGTTTGTGAGAGAGAATTTCGTGAGGCCCACACAAGTTACATCGCCAGGTTGAAGGTTGGCTCTTCGGCTGTCCCCTTCCTTCCTTATCATCCTCCGCCCATTTTGGGGGAGTTATTCGCTTGAAAAATAGCATTATTTTGGCACGTTCTGCTTCCGAACCGTTCATTTATCCTCGAAATGTATGGGGGGTTCTCAGCAGACCGACCTCCCTCCAAACGAGCAGCCTAGGAGGGGCACAGTGGCATCTACTCGTTCGTGGGTTTGCTGAGTTCGACGCTCCTCCGTGTGGCTGGCGTCATTGCAACAATGAAGACCAAGAAGCAGTTGTCTTATATTCCTGGCTTACGCGGGTGTTTCTGGCGTTTTTGGCTGTTTGTGGCGCTCTGGCTTGTGGAGCAGCAGAATGTGTACTCATCAGGGGCATCAAAAAAAAAGGCCGCCGAGGAGGACACAGAATTCGAAACTGCCGGAGGACTCGCAGGCGATACGATGGCCAAACTGCATGCAGAACTGGCTGCCCAGCAGGAAATAACGGACACCCGGCTCGCGACAGGACTTCTTACAAAGAATCGAGGCCACGTAGTTGCTCTCATTGTGCTTTTCTTGATCTTAATAAGGACAATTGTACTTCGCAGGGGACGAGAGCGCAAAAAGAAGGTTGAAGAAGAAGTTAGACCTCCCCGAGAGGAACCCCAAGCGAAAGAGCAAGAAGGAGAAGAAGAAGCAGAAGAAGAGGAAGAAAAGCCTGTTCCAGAAGTGGAGCCTTCACCGGAACAGGTAGTTTTGCAGCCAGAAGAACCTGCGAAAGAAGTACCTCTGCCACAAGTGCCTACGCAAGTTCCCGTGCCAAGACCGAGGCGTAAACCAAAAGCGGAAGTTCCACCTGAAAAACAACCAGAGGAAACTGGTGCCGATGGACAGCCAGAAGAATTCGTGCAGCAGCCGGTAACTCGTGCAAGGAAGACTCGGAGGGAAGTTGTCCGGAAGGAGATGCCTCCTCCCGAGGCCCCTACCCAGGTGCAGCCAGGTATTGAAGAGCAAGTGGAAGAAGAAGAACCTGTCCAACAACCGACTCAGCCACAACCTGATGAGCCTACACCGATACAACCTACCTTGCCGCAGCCTCCAGAACAACCAGTTCCAGGTCCAGCGCCTGGCGTGCCAGAAGTGTCGTATATGGAACCTACTGTCCCTCCAACTGTCGTCACTGTGCCGCCCGACGAAGTCAGAGAACCCGCCCCTGTAACGGTTATCCACGAGGACCAGGAGCTGCCAGAATTGAGGGCTCGGCGGAGCCTCGTTAGCAGTCTGGTGGACGTCGCGACAAGGCTGGTAGATGAGTTGCCGGGAGAACAGGCACGACCAATTCTCGATGCATTGAAGATAAAAGCGGCCGCAGCTGAAAAGGCAGAGAGGGAGTACGATTTGGCAAGATCCCGCAGAGACCCAAACCTTCCAGGCATTCGAAATGCAGTCATCCATGCAATAAACACATCCATTGAAGGGTCCCGCAGTGATCTATTGCAGTTGGCAGATCTGGCAAGGTCGTACGGTGAGCAAGTGTATGAGTACTGCTCCAAGAGCTTTTCTTTTACGAATGTCGATCGTTTGCGGTATCCTCTGCAGAAGTGCTTGGATGCTGTCCCAG